CCTGCTACCCCGGCCCTGGGCTCCCCCCAGCCCTGCCGGTGCCCCTCACTCCCGACCCGCAGCCCCTGCTACCCCGGCCCTGGGCTCCCCCCAGCCCTGCCGGTGCCCCTCACTCCCGACCCGCAGCCCCTGGTAGCCCGGCCCTGGGTCCCCCCAGCCCTGCCGGTGCCCCTCACTCCCGACCCGCAGCCCCTGCTAGCCCAGCCCCGGGCCTCTCCAGAGACTGCTATCCCTGCTGGGCTGTGCAGTGATATTCAGATGGGGCTGAGACTGGAGGAACTCGGGTACCGGCTGGGTTTGAACGCCCAGCGGCATGGGTCTGCTCCTGGCCATGCCCTCGCGTCCGGCTCAGCTCACCTTCCCCCGCCCGCAGGTGCCAGGAGAACAAGATGGACGAGGCCAACCTGGCCGTGATCTTCGCCCCCAACCTCTTCCCCAGCTGTGCGCTGAGTGACGCGCCGGGCGCCGAGCGGCGGCTGCTGCTCCAGGCGGGTGCTGTGCAAGCCCTGATCAGCCACGCGCCCCACATTGGTGAGCGGCGGGGAGGAGCTGGAACTGCTCTGCCAGCGTGTGCACGGACGACCCTTCCGAGAGTGAGACGGAGCAGCATGTCTGTGTCCTATGCCCTGTACTGCTAATGGGGATTCCCCCAGAGCCCTGGGCTGGTTGTCCGTGTCCTGGGGGAAGCTGTGAAATAGCTGCAATCCCTGCTGAAATGTCTCTAGCACTTTGCATCCAGAAGTATGTTGCAAGCGGTTTACGCAGGTCAATGCAGCCACCTCTGGGGTGGGGCACGGGGGCTGTTTATGGAGGGACCCCTCGCCCGGTGCTGGGATGCAGCCACCTCTGGGGTGGGGCGCAGGGCTGTTTATGGAGGGACCCCTCGCCCGGTGCTGGGATGCAGCCGCCTGTGGGGTGGGGCTCGGGGGCTGCTCTCTGGCAGCAGGGCACTGCTCCGGGACAGGAAGTGAAGGAGGCTGCGTCCCAGTGTCAGTGCAAAGGGCGTCCAGAGGAGGCGGTGGCCCAGGACCCTGGGGTCGGCCTCACAGCTGTGTCCTATCCCATAATCCCCTGCTCTGCTGAATGCCCCATGTCCAGTGGACAGGTCGGACCCTCCCCCGCAGCTCTTCAGTGCATGGCAGGGCACTGGGGCTGCTGGGGGCTCTGCCCCCCCCCCCCGTTATGCTGGTCTTTGGGCGCCCCCCCCCCCACTTTAGGGGCTGGGTAGCAGCAAAGAGGCACCTGACAGATGGGGGTGTCCGGGGGCTGCAGGCAAGTGGCTCTGGGGTGACGGGAAGGGGATTCTCAGTCCTGGGGTGTCTTGGCTCCGAGCCCCCCCGTGTCTCCCCTCTAGGCAGAGTCCCCCAGTTTCTCCTGGACAAACTCCCAGCTCCTGCCCCTGAGCCAGACAGCGGCTGCCAGAGCCAGGCGGGGCCCGGGGATGCCGGAGACGGGCTGGCGGAGCGGAACCAGAGACTTCGCCGGAGGAGCGTTGGTGGTGAGCGTTGGTTCTGTCCCCCACTCGCTGCCGGGCACAGGCAGAGAACCCAGGAGTCCTGGTTCCCAGTCTCCTGTTCTGACCACTAGTCCCCACCCCCCTCCCGGAGTGGGGGAGAGAACCCAGGAGTCCTGACCCTCTACCCACGGAACAAGCCCCCTACCCTGCCAGTATGCCCCATGCCCCACCCCCAAGGGGTGTTCAGGAAGCTCAGCCCTGGGGAGGGGGGGTGTTGGCCCCAGGGGGTGGGGATGTGCTGGGGGGGCACTATGGGGTTAAATCCGCCCTGTTTTCTGTCTTGCAGACATTGTGAACGGGGCCCTGACCAAACTGAGAGTGGGGCGTGGCGCTGTGGGGCTGGGAGTGGGTGAGTGCAGGGCTGTTGGGCGGGAGCATGGGGGTGGGGGCTGGCTCAAGGGGGGCAGCTGGGTACTGTGGGGCTTGGATGAGTATAAGGCCACTCGCAGCCCCCCCCCACATATATTGGGTGTCCCCAGTTCCTCATCTGAGCAGCTGTGGAAAGGGCTTTACGCTGCATGCGTAGAGACCCTTCGCCTGGCGCTGGGATGCGGCCACCTCTGGGGTGGGGCACAGGGGCTGGTTCACAGCCATGCAGCAGTTTAGGACTGAAAGCCAAGAGCAACCCTGGGCCTGAGGGGGGAGCTATGAAAAGCCACTCTGGGCTCGCACCTTGTCTGAGTGTGGCACCTCCTGCAACACCGGCCCCCGGGGCCATCCGGGCCAGCCCTGCTGGCCAGGGGAGAGCGCCCCCTGCTGCCCCCGCCCTGCTCTCTGCAGCACAGCGCCCCCTAGCGCCGCCCTGGGGCAATGGGGCCAGCCCTGCTGTGCCAGGAGAGAGCGCCCCCTGCTGCCCCCCACAGGGTCTCTTCCATGCAGCGATGGGGTGCAGGAGTCGGGGGGGGGGGGGGGAGGATGCCCTGCTGGGTCGGGGAGAGGCTGGGGCAAACCTGGGGGACCTCCCCAAGTCTCCCCTCCTCTCCCTAGACTCCCCGAGCGGCTCCAGCCTGGTGCCCCAGACGACCCCCTTCAGCGCCAAGCGCAAGGCCTTGGAGGAGCTGGTCCAGGAGGCCCTGCTGGGCACCAAGAAGCGGTAGGCAGCTCCGTGCCGTTCCCCTGGGGGGGCACCGGGGAGCTCGGGGGGTGGGGGAGGGACTGGGGAATTTGGGGTGGGACTGGGGAGCGTGGTGTGGGTGGAGCAGGGGGATGCCAGATGAGGGGAGGACTCAATCATTGGGGGGCACCCAGTTTCCCGGGCATGTCCTACAAGGCGTGCTGGGAACTCCGGGCGGGCGCGCCAGTTCCGCCCCTCGCTAACGCTGCCCACACGTGCCCCTTGCAGGAGACCCGCCGTGGGGCCGGCTGGCTCGGATCTCTCCACGGACGAGGCCGGGGACCCCTTGGATCAGCCCCTGGATGATGGTACGGCTGGGGGGTGCTGTGCCCTCACGGCAGCGCCGGGTGTTAGGATATAGATATTCTGGCCGGTCTGTAAAGGCCTAGACTTTAAGAATTGAGGTATTTGTATCATTTCGCTGGTTACAGGGGTATCAAAACCCGAGTCGGCCTGCGTCTGTCACTGGGATAGTCTGAGGCCTGGTCCTCTGGCCAAGCAGCAGGGGCAGCCGTAAACCGGGAAGCGAACGGCCACATCCCACCCCAGTCTCACTGCAATAAGGCGGCATTGGGCCGTTAGGAAGACGATTGTGTCCTGATAGTGCCCAGCCCCACCCGATAAAGAACCCGATCGTCGGATGGTTAAAGAGAACTTGGTTTGATAGCATCCAGTCTGGCAAGAAATCCCGAATCAATGGGGGTGGTTGGGAACCCCTCGTTTGTCTGTTTTATCTTTATGGCCCCCACTCTTCTATTGCTAATCTGCCCGGGTCTCTAACTGTCTGTCTGCCGCTTCCCCGACCCCACATTCCCCCAAAGTGGCGCGCCGGCCGGCCGGCGGAACAGGGCCGCGGGCTGGCTGGCTCCCGGCGCTCCCGCCGGGACTCGGGCCCTGAGAGCATTGCCGGGGGTCTCGGTGCCCCGGACAGCGCTCTGGATGGGGAAGCGGGGCGGCCACAGGGCCGGCTCCAGGCACCAGCTTAACAAGCAGGTGCTTGGGGCGGCCAAGGGAGAGGGGCGGCACCTGCAGCAATTCGGGGGTGGCAGGTCCCTCACTTTCGGCAGCATTTCGGCGCATGCGCAGGGCCGCCGAAATGCCACCAAAGGACCGGCGCCTTTTTTCGCCACCGCTCCTCCTCGGCTGCAACCCTGGCTACGCCACTGGGAGTGGGATGTAATTGGTTCGAGAGTGATGTTACAGTAGGTTAGGATTGGTTAGATTTCAGTAGAAGGATTGGTTAAGGTGTAGCTGAGAATATTACTATAGAAATTGGGGGCAAACAGGAAGTAAGTTGGGATTTGAAAAGGGAACTTGGATTAAAGGTTGCTGGACGTTCACCCCAATGAACATCCAATGGTTTGCACCTTTGGGCTTCGGGTATTGTTGCTCTGTTCATGCGAGAAGGACCAGGGAAGTGTGAGGGTGAAGGAAGAAGCCCCTTAACAAGGGGCCCCAGCCAGGATTGGGGCCCCCGTCCCTGCACGGCCCCAGTGAGCTCTGACCCCAACAGGATTTCAAACCCCGTGTTAGAGGGGGAAGGGTCTTACTCAAGCCATGCCAGGAGTCTGTGGCAGAGCTGGGGAGAGAACCCAGGAGTCCTGGCTCCCAGCCCAGGCCCTGCTCTATCCACTAGACCCCCCTCCCCTTCCAGAGCTGGGAAGAGAACCCAGGATTCCTGGCTCCCAGCCCACCCCCTGCTGTAATCACACTCCTCTCACTTATCTCTTCCCCCCCATAATAGACAAGCATCTATTCTCCCCCCCCCAAATACCAGCCCCCTCCCCTGCTCCTTGGCTGACCCCTCTGCCTCCCCTCCCCCAGCTCCTGCCAGCCCCCCCGAGGTCTTCACCGACAGCCCCCCAGAGCTGTCCCCCGCTGTGGGGACTCTGCCCCCCAGTGCCGGCCTGCACCGAAGGAAGAGCAGCTGCAAGAGGCATCCTCAGAGGTAAGGGGGGAGGCGTCGCCCCACTGGTAACTGCACCATGGGGCGCCTGCTTCTGGCCCACAGGCGTGTCCCGGGGCAATGGCTGGAAATGCTGGTTCCTGAGTTGGGGGGCCTCTGAGGAGCCAGGTGCAGTTCAGACCCCCCCAGACTGAGATCGGGGGGCCTCTGTGGGGCCGGGTGGTGTGCAACCGCCCCACTGAGATTGGGGCTGCCCATTGTGCCTGGCACTGCAGACCCCCCCACACACACACAACAGCTGGGGAAACTGAGGCCCAGGTGATGCAGGGATTTGCCCAGGGAGGTGGTGGCAGAGTCTGGAATTGAACCTTGATCCCCTGGGTCCCAGCCCAATACCTGACGCACACCCCCCCCACCCCGGCCATCAGTGTATGGTTCCCAACTCCGGCGCCCCCTAGTATTGGGGGGGGGGTGGCATCGGCTCATCCCTGCTCTGTTCCACGGGCAGCATTTGAGGCCCGGTGGACGTCTCTGGCGGTGCCTTGGGCAGAGCCTGGCTCTGGGGGTTCCCCTGGTGCCCAACCCGCTCCGTCCTGGGCAGCTCTCCTGATGCTGTATTGCGTCCCGTCCAGGAAGCTCTCTGCCCGATCCGCCCGCGGCTCCCCAGACCCCTTCGAGCGACAGGACGCGGGGCGCAAATCCTTGCGTGTTTTCGCCCGTAGCGGGAAGGAGCTGGTGAGTAACTCCGGACGCGCGGGCCCCTTTTGGGCCTAGAGGTGAATCCCCGTTAGCAGTATAGGGCCTAAGATGAGTGACGCTGCAGCGCAGGGTCCATCCAGCAGGGGGCAGCAGTTACACATACCGAGGCCAGCTCAGTGCAAGTTCATTGCTTGGGTTGTGGAAGAGAACTCAGGCATTGGGGGGGGGGGGAGTTTAAAGGGACACACGTGGGGACACCTGGGTTCTCCCTCTACTTTAAAGGGGCCGGCCTCCTTGTGCCACATGCCAGCTCGGAGGCCTCCCCTGGCACCCGGTCCCGGGCCCCTCCAGGCGCTTTCTAGCTGCGGCTCCGGCCCCGGGCTAGCAAAGCCCCAGCCCTTCTCCCTTTCTCCCCCCTGCAGCCTCCCCCGGACTTCGCCAAGCAGGACGCCAAGGCCCCCGAGCCCAGCAGTTGGCACCTGATGAAGAGGGTGGTGGCAGACTCCCTGGAGGGGCACCGAGCCCCACAGAGCTGGGTCCCGCTGCCCTTGTCCAGGCCCACGGAGCCGGATGATGGTACAGCCCATGTCCTGGGGGCCGCGTGATGCAAAGGGCCCCCATCTTCTAGGAGTGCGTGGGGGGGCTAGATAAAGGGAGTGGGGTTTGGATCAGAGATGGTGATGGGCTTGAGGGGGGTGCAGCAGGGGGTTCCTCTGTTCTCCTCAGCAGGGCCCCCATCAGCATCCTCGACTGGCCCCCGCCCTGCCTGCTCCGCCATTGACCCGGCTTCTCCTTTCCAGTCTGCAGCACTGACGGGGGGGTGGGTTGAACCCCGTAACCCCAGACAGCCCCTCCCCCCCGCAGCAGCCACGCTGCATCTCAGCCCAATGGCGAAATAGCTTCCCGGCCCCATCGCCCGTGTTGTAATCGGCTGGTTTCAACAGAGACGGGCGGGGCCGGGTGAGCTCGGGGCGGGCGGGGGTTTAGTGGCTTGGCTCATCTTCGCCCCGCCCCCTTCCCGGGGCCTGAGAGCCTCGGCGCTGTGGGTCTGTTCGCATGGTGCCGCCGCAGCCAACGGGTCGAAGATCCCAACCGCTTAGAGGGCAGGGTTTGCCCATATCCATCTGTCAGCGCATTAGCTGCTGTGCCCCATCCCAGAGGGGGCTGCATCACAGTGCCGGGTGAGGGGTCCCTCACAAACAGTCCTCGTGCCCTGCCCCAGAGTGAGGGAACCCTGTACAAACAGCTGCCACACTGCACCCCCGAAGTGGCTGCATTTCATTGCTGCGTCTGATTCCGCCTCTCATGATGCGGGTGGGCGCCGGGCCCCATGTTGGCTGGGGCCGTGACGGGCCCATGTCTGTGTTCCAGGGACACCTGCTGTGGAAGACCCCGCTGCCGGGCACAGGAAGCAAGACCCCGTGCCCTGGGCGGGATCTGCGGACGCCGGCAAGAAGCCGTGCACCAAGGAGCTGGACCTGGAGGCCTGGTCCAGAAGCTGCCCTGGGGTCCCCCGCAGGCAGCAGCGGGCCCTGCGCAGGTCCCTGAGCTGGCCGGAGGGCCTGTCGGGGGCAGAGGGCAGCGTCAACGACCCCCCAGGAGCTGCCGGGTCAGGCAGCTCCCCATCCCGCCCTGGAGGAGGTGAGATGGAGCCACTGGATGACGCCCCGGGGAGCCGACCTGGCCTGGAGCCGCTGGGCACGCCCATGCTGTGCATCACATTGGCCCCTGGCGGTACTGTGCCCGGCTGCCTGGGGGCTGGGGAGGGTGGCGAGGAGGAGGAGCGGCCAGCTCCTGGCTCTCTTGCCCAGCATCTTCCCAGCCCTGATGGTGCCCCCAGGCGCCATGTGAAGCGACTGACCCTGGCCTTCCCGCGCTCCCCCGCCCAGCCCGCCGGAGCCGGCACCCCCAAGCGGGTGGCCCGAGGCCGGCGCTTCGGGCGCTCGCTCAGCCATGAGAGTGCCCTGCCCAGCGGGGTCCAGGCCCAGGCCTCGGGGCGGGGCAACTCTGGCCTGCAGCCCCCCAAGAGTCCACTGAGCTACTTCCGGGCCTGCGGGCGGCAGATCTTGGTCAGCCACAAGCACCTCACCCTGGCCTTTGCGGGGCTGCGGGGCCGGAGGGAGCCGGGCAGGGCCATGCCCACCGCCAGCCCCCAGGATGTGGCCCCCGCCGGCCCCTCCTGCGACCCCCAGCTCCAGCAGCTGCTGGGGGCCAATCGGCACCACTCCCCCAAAAATCCCCCCCTGCCGGCTACTAAACTCACTGCCAGCCAGGGCTCCCTGGATCTGTGAAGGGGGGGGGGCACAGTCTGTCTGGTTGGGCTGGTGCGTGCCTTCCCCCCCCCCCCTCCCGATGTGCAGCATTCCCCTGCCTTCGGGGGAGCAAACTGGGCCCGGAAGTTTGGAATCCCCTGGGCTGCAACCGAGAGATCCCCTCGCCCTCCGGACCTGCGTGTGACCCAAACCGGATGGGGCTGACGGCCGTGCACCCCTGGGCACCGCGGCTGCCTTCCCTTAGCAGCCACGTCCTCGCCTGGTCCCTTGGGCAGAATTCTCTTTGTGCATTTCAGCCCCCGGGTGGCAATTCCCGAGCCGCTCTGCGCCCTCGCCCGCTGGCCTCTGGGAAGCTGGCTCGTCCTGGGGTCGAATTCCCGGCAGAGAAATCGGCCTCGGGGTTTTTTTACCCTGTTATCGCCTGGTACCAGCTCCTCGCGCCTGGGTTTCTGCTGCCGGCTCTTCACGCCATGGGCTGCAGGTTCTGCGTTTCGCTGTGGGGTGGAGGGGGGGTGTGAGAGCACACCGCTTGTTTCTGGAGACGGGCCGTGATACGGATACAAGGTGTAGGGACTGGGGTGTCTTTTTCCCAAGCCGGGGGCGGGCGGGGTCTCCCCTCGGCGCTGCACTCAATACTTCCGAAAGCCAGAAGGCCCCTGGGGTCGATGTTTCTTTCCTTTCAAATGTTTAAATTTCTTCCAGAATAAACGTGTTTTAAAACTTTCTTTCCCCTCCTTTTTCCACCCCAAGAAGCAGCGAACAGTCGGCACAGACTGTGGAGCCGCCGGGGTGTTTGCTGCTGCGTTTCCTGCACAGGGTAGGATCCGCGCTGCTGCTGGATCGAGGGGGCTGGGGGGGATCCCCAGCTCTGGGATGGGGGGGTGAGCTGGGAATAGATTCCAGGAGTCCTGGCTCCCTACCCGCCCCCATTAGACCCCCTCTCCCCTCTCCAAGCTGGGGGAGAACCCAGGGGTCTGTGGTGTCTCACCCCTTGAATGTGGGGAGAGGTGTCTGGGGCTGTGGGGGTGGGCCCCCCATCTCATCCAGACCTGGGGTTGGCCCTAGACCCAGGCCGGTGGGGTCTATCCTGGGCTGTCCCGCTGGGGCTGGAGCCTGGCGGCTCTGGGGTCGGGCTCTGCACTGAGATCTCTGCAGCAGACGGATGCCTGGGCGCGTTCTCCAGCTGCCCCTGCTCCTTGCATGCTGGGGCTGGTGATGTCTCTTCCCCCCCCCCCCTCCCCGAGGCGAAAGGGGGCGTTTCTCCCTGCCCCAGGGCCCAGGACAGCTTTGCAGCAAGCCACGAAAAAGCCCCGTGACCTGGGTTGTACTAAAGGGCTGATGAGGGGGACCCCATAAATCCCGCTTTCCAATACCCCGTCTTCCTGCCCCAGCGCTGGGAGAGGAATGGGCCTAGGGAGGCCTCGATCCCAACTGGGGGGTGGGTGTTTCTGGGCAGCGCCTGGCAGGCTGGGGGCCCTGATCCCGGCCGCTGGGGGTTAGCCCCAGGTCTTCCTGCCAGGCAAGTTGATGGGCGGCCCGGAGCTGGGGGCCAGGCCGGATTTATTTGATTTCGGCTGCTGATCTGCAGCGTCACCCAATTAGCACCTGGTGCCCCACGACTGTCCTTGGCTCCCTTTTCCTAGGCCACTAATTAATGACACAGCCTGATTAATTTCCACCCCGGCGCCCTCTAGTGGCCTCCCCAAAGAGCGACCTGCCCTGCAAAGCAGCATGAATCGAGGGGTAGGACCTGGAGCCTGGCTCTGCATTCAGGCCGGAGTTTCGTAGCTGGTTGGGGCACCGGCCAGCCCCACGGGAACCGGTTTAACATTGAGTGGGGCACAAGCATATTTTTTCCCCCTGTGACTTTTCTCTGATGTTGCCAGGTTAAGACAATATTTTTGTATTTCTGGCTCCCTCTCGGTATTACTGGAGCCCCGTAGCGCCAGGCGCTGGACAAACACACAACAAAACCACGCTCCCGTTCCCTGAGCCCTTCCCGTTGAAGTCTCTGCCAAGGGCCAATAGCTGGGTGCAGGCGGCCGGCTGGGAAACTGAGGCAATGATGAATTTCAGGTCTGCCTCTCCAGCGTGTGGCAAAAAGCAAAGTGGCCTTGGGGGCTGACCGGGGGGGGGATCTGGACTCAAACCCCAGCCCCCTCTCAGCCGCCCTTCTCTGCTGCATCATTGTGTTGTGCCTCAGTTTCCACATCTCCACAAGGGGGATCATAGAACAGCGTCAGTTGGAGACCGATTTTTAACAGAGTTTCTCTCTCTACTCCCCCCCCCCCCCCCCCGGCCACAGCTGGACTGGCTTAAAGGGACGTGTGTTTATTTCCCCTTCCCAGGTGGGAAGAAGCCCTTATCATAGATCCACATGTCCAGTGTGCTGGGACAGCCCCTGGGGGGACCCCTTCCATCTGTCAACCCCCCTCTGGGTCACTGGGGTCAGCCCCTTGGTTTCAGCGCCTCCTAGTACTGAAGCTTGGAGCCTCCAGCCCCCCCTGTGCCACACCGTGAGCTCCCCTCAGAGCTGCACCCCGAGCTGGGCCGGGAGCACCTCTTGGCCAGGGGTGTGAAAACGGATGAGGAGCCGGGATGTGGTGTGGGGAGCTCTGAGCTTGGCAGAGGGAAGGGGATGCTACAGCCACTCCAGCAGAGCGCGGGGTTGCCTCTGCCCCCTGCCCAGCAGTGCCCCTAATTCCAGATGCCTAACCCTCCCTCCCTGTCCTCAGTCCTTCGTTCCTCTTCCCAGAGAGAGAAAGGTCCCCGGCCCTCCTCTGGGTCCCTGCAGCGATTAAATCACCTTTTCCCCTTACCTAGTTAAACATTCAGTATATTGGGGAAACTGAGGCACCCACGAAGGGCCCGGTGGGCTCCGTGCAGCCTGGAGACACCTGCGACGGGGGCCAGGGAGCTGCTGGCCAGGTGAGGCACCTGCCTTAGCGCCTAAACCAGTGGGAGAGCTGAGAATAGAACCCAGGAGTCCTGGCTCCCACACCGCGCCACCCCCTCCCAGCTTTCTTTCCCAGCGCGGGGGAGAGAACCCAGGAGTCCTGGCTCCCAGCCTTGCCCTGGGCTCTAAGAGGGGATTTCCTGGAGTCCCACTAGATTAGGGCAGCCTGGGGGTGGGGGGGCAGAGGAGCCGCGCACACACATCTCACCCCCTTCCCTCTCCCCACACTGGGGGCCAGGGGCCCCTCTCCCCTCCCCTCCCCTCCAGTCACTGGTTTTCTCCTTCCCTCCCTCTGCACCCGCTCTCTGGCCGCCTGCCACCCCTTGCTTGGGCTTGTTTCCCCCTCCTGCCCCCCATCTCTTCCCCACTTCTTCCATCTCCCCTTCCCCACTCCCCCCTTCCTCCTCCCCCACTCCCTCCTTCCCCAGCCCCCCCCTTCATCCCGTCTCTCAGCCTTGCCCCCCCGCCGGCTCCCCCCCTCCAATCGGCGGCGGCCGGGGGCGGATCCAGGGCCGCCCCCCGCCCGCTGCGGGCAGCCCAGCCCGGCCCGCCCGGCCCCTCACTCCCGGCTCTCCCCGCTGGACGGCCGGCCCGAGCCCGCAGCCCCCCGCAGCCATGGCCGAGGGCGGGGAAGGGGAGGATGATGTGCAGTTCCTGCGCACCGTGAGTGGGGCCGGGGCGCGGGGGGGGAGCAGGGGGGAAAGGGTGAGGGAGGGGCAGAGGGGGAAGGGGTGAGGGAGGGGGCAAGGGGAGAAGGGGGAGGTAGGGGGAGCGGTGGGGAAGGGGCAAGGGGGAAGGGGAGCGGCGGGGAAGGGGCAAAGGGGGAAGGGCGATGGAGGGGAGTGGTGGGGGAAGGGGAGCGGCGGGAATGGGGTGAGGGAGGGGGAGCGGTGGGGAAGGGGCAAAGGAGGGAAGGGGCGAGGGAGGGGGAGCGGCGGGGAAGGGGCAAAGGGGGGAAGGAGGAGGGAGGGAG